TCATTTTCATGCCAATTGGGCATTAGGTACAAAACAAAGTAGAGCAAGTCAATCAAAAGTAGAAAGACAATATAAAAACGTATCAAAATAAGAAATCCTCAACATTTTATTATCAATTTCTCAACAAATTGGATTTTTGAATATGTAAGTCAAAAAAAAAAAGAGGCTAAAAAAGAATCCATGAATTTTTTTTTTTAAATTGTTCCCAACTTCAATGTTTAATAATCCAAGTTCATGCATATAGTTTTATTTATAGAGAAATAAAATCCTAGTTATGATTGAAAGTTAAGTTCATGCGTATAGTTTTATTTATATAGAAATTAAATCCTAGTTATGGTTAAAAGTTCTTATTCTTATTACATTCAAATAAATTTAAAAATAAACCAATAATTCCAAGTGCATTCATAAATGATAACGGGCTAGAAGAAACTTGAAAATGTTTCTAATCCTTATTTCTTTTTTTGCTTAGTTAAACTCACTATGGTTGGCCAATGGGAAATTGATCTTGTTTATATTGAATTGGTTGAAGGGTCAAATACTTATAACATTATTACAATACTGAAAATCGGAACATAGCCTATCCAATATGATTATATTCCTCCATTCTTATCCCCAATGCTAATATCATTTCTTTTTATTTTTGACATCTATTAATTAGTTCAACATATATTTAATTTGTACCAGGTCAACAAGTACCCAGTCGACTCAATTGTTGTCATGTCGAGCACTGTTGTCTAGAGTGATAGGTATCCTCAAATTGATAATTAGGCCTCATGCTTGGGACACTTGTCTAAGCAAAGTATGGCATTAAAATAAAATTATTTCATCAAATAAATATATTTCTACTTGAAGATATTTAAGTCTAAAATATTAGCCAAAACATTTATCTTTGTTGGATAAATAATAAATTTTCATATTTCTATTTTTTCCTCATTGCAAGATTTAGCTAAATATTTAAGTTTAAATTTTGACCCAAAAGGCCTAATTAAGTGACTTGAAATATTTAGTGTTTATGACATTTATCATGTAGGAGAAATTTTATCATCATGACTATCTATTCCTTTTAAGTTGGTGTATGTTAATTTGATAAAAACTTGAAATTCATTGCCATGGTCTTAACTTTGAATCCCAATGTTATCAGAATTAATATAAATTAATATTTAAGTTTAATTTGGTTCTGTCTTCACCTTCGTCCTTTGCTCGAAGTAGAAGGAGATTCCGCTCATCCTCACTTGTGATCGCTTCGGGCAGAACATATGCTGCTGCCCTTGTGGGTGTTTACGCCCCAGGTACTCCTAAGTCGTGTTTCTTCCCACCTTCCTTTGCGCTAGTGGAGGGTGACGAGTTCTGCTACATCAAGAAATCTGGTAGGAAGAATGGGAAGCCAGCCATCTTTTTTATTGAAGCCGAATGTGTTCAATTTGTTTCTTTCAGTCGCCTGAATTTGGTCGGGAAATTCCTTTATGACTATCCCAAAATAGAGCTTATTTGTAAGAAATTTGAGCTTATGAACCTTGCTGGGAGTGAAAAATTGGACTCTTAGATGGCTGACACATCGTTATTCAACTTAATAATGAAGAGGATTACTTACGTTTATTTGCTAGAAGATTAATTTGGATTGATAACAGAGCAATAAAAATTTTAAAATGGTCGGTGGATTTTGACCCACAGACAGAACCACCAACCATTCCAGTCTGCATTCACCTCCCTGGCCTTGTTATACTCTATTGCGTTAGTCTATGGTAAGTCACTCAAAACGGACATTCTTACTTTTAATCTTTCTTGTCGCTTTAAAGTCAGAGTACTGGTTGAAAGAGACATCACTTCAATCGCTCCTGAGGGAATTTGATTAGACTCACAACACCAAGGATATTGGCGAAAGATTATTATTGAGCATTTTTATGCGTATTGCTTGAATTGTTGTATGTTTGGCCACTTCAATTCTCAATGTCACCATCTACAGCCCCATTAAGACTAAAGAAGCAAAGTGCTCAGCAGAGGCAAAGATTCCCCCCTCCTGATCTGCTCCAAGTTATTGACAATATTGATCATCAAAAGGATACTCCTGAAGGTGCCACTATCCCCGTTGGAAATCTCTCAACCATTCAGCCTCCACACAATCCTCCTAGGGAACCTCTGTTCGTGGGGGCAGAGCAGACATTTCATACTTCATCTACCAAGGAACCTGTCATTGATGTAACGGGTGACAATATTTCTATTGCGGTTCTACCGCCTCATCAGATCGAGCAAGTTAATACTGTTAGTCAGGCACATGGGGCCCATGATGTGCAACGACTTATTCATGTCCGACAATCTTTGGACCAATCCATCGATCAGATGAACCAGTCTTCGGATGAGGAATGACAGGTTTACACATCCAGGAAAAAGAAGAATGGAGACATATTACCAAACTTAATGGATGATACATTTGTTGGTTTGGGTAATGGCAGTAAACTTAACATTGTGTTAGCTGACTCCCGTCCTAGAACCAGAGGCTGAGGTAAGACTAAATTGGATCATTCTCTAGCTTTCTGAATATACGAGTGTTGGCAGAATTTTGGCGTAGAGTTTATATGTCTACATTTTAATCTTGGTTTTCTTTTTTGGGTATACATGTACCTTTCTGGGACCTACGTGTGTGTTGTATGTCGGATGGTTAGGGTGCCAATTTGAGTCCTTTCATCTAACCTATTTGTACCTTTCCTTTTTTAATTTATTCGTCTTTGGGCTTTTGCACACACACACACATACACACATATATATATACATATATATATTATGAAAAGCCGAAGGACTGATTTTATTGAAATAGAAAATGATACATAAAGGTTGTATGAGAACAAATATGAGAAGAGACCAAAGAGGCACCCTACCCATACTATACAAGTACATAAAAACTAACAAAAGGTACAAATAGACTAAAAAAAAATTAAAAAACAAATTTAATACTTGCAGAAAGCAGTAGCTAGGGACGAGCTAGTTTAGTCCCGCCTCTTCCTCTAGTTTTAGGAGTAGAACCAGATAACAAACTTTTAAGAGTCGTGTCATTGCCAGGAGTCACCAAAGTATTATCCATTAAGTTTCCAAGTTGGAGTGAGCCCCCAGGCTTCTTCTTCCGTCGAGAAGTGTAAAGCTGTCATTCTTCATCTAAAGACTGGCTCATATGATCTTCGATCTGATTTGATGTTTGAACCGAAGCAGAAAGAAAGACAGTCGTTGCCACCGCGATAGGTTCCAGTGTATGGGAAGTGTGAATTGTTACCTCTGCACCTGATACTTTCTGAATAGTATGGTCAGGGGAAGGGATCCCAGGGGCAGACACCAACTCATGTCTTGTGGTGTTTTCCTCCTCAGGTTTGCTGTCATCAAGTTTGCTGCGAGTGTGTTCAGGCACATGGGGTGCGCTAACAGTGTGTTCCTGCTTTTGACTATTGGTTCTCAATTGTGGGTGCAATTTGAAACATTTCTTCTGCGGGTGTCCAAACATCTTGCAGTGCTTGCAGTAGTATGGTTTTTGTTCCATAATGATTTTTTGCCAATAACCATTGTGAGCAGATCCAAGCCAGACTTCTTTTACATCCGGTAGTGTAATATCTCGTTCAATCAAATTCCTTGTAATAGAGGGTCTTGAGAAATGAACTGTAGGTAAATCTACCTGCAAAGGTTTTTCAAGGATAGTCTCAATTGCATATAAGATAGGTAGATCAAAGAAATGAAGCTTGAGTTCAGGTAATGAGAACCAGATAGGTGCAATTGGGGGTTCCTGACTAGGATCAAAATTAGGCGTCCATTTGAGCAATTTTATATGTTTGCCCTCAATTGTGATGAATTTCTTTGAGAAAATCCTCGTTTAATCACCTTCTGTGGTCAGCTGTATCATAACATGTCTTCCATCAAAATGGCTCACCTGCCAATCTCCAACTAGTTTGAAATCTTCAAAAACCTTCCTGATAATCTCCATCTTCGGGCATCCTAATTGAAACTTTCCAACTAGTGTAAGTTTGTATTTTCCTGCACGAGTTGAAATTTCAGCGTCGGAGAAGAAAATTACTGGCTTGCCCCCTTTTTCTCTACTTTTTTTATGAGATTGCAATCGTCATTTCCTACAACAGAATCATGGTAACTCTGCGGGAATACCGCACTATCTGCGAGGTGAAAAGGGAGCTGTGTTTGTGATCCACAGTGGCATAGGAGGGTTTGGCGGGGTTATCACTGGTGAGGGCGGCTACGTAAGAAAGCCCTGAGGCCATTACTGCAGCTAGTGCCAAACTGCAGCAGGAAGAAAAGCTGCAGGATCTGTCGCAGACACCTATGCTAGAGGCTGAGACGAGCAGCTCTGTTGCAGATTCGCGCGCTGAGCCGAGCAGAACGACGAGCGACTCAGCCGAAGTCGAGTGGCTCGCAGACGCTCTGAGCCGAGCAGACGACGAGCGTTCTGTCATAGACGCAGATCGAGCAGCTCTGTCGTAAATGAGGCGCAGACAGGAAACGCAGCAGACGACACAAATGGAAGCAGACCACCGAGAAGAAGCAGGCGACGCGAGACGACGCTGAATCCTGAAGCAGAAAGGAAGCAACGCGAGACGCTACCAGAGCGGAACAACGACATTTTCATAGATATATATATATATATGTGTGTGTGCGTGTGTGTGTGTGTGTGTGTGTGTGGAGTTGGGTTTGACGGGTTTTAACTTGAACCATCAAGACTGATTGACGGTCATAATGTCAAGCTAGTGTTTTGTTTTAGGGTGACAGCAGCAATGCCACTTTGTGCGTGACACAATATCTCTCGATCAAGAAGTGTTATGTACCCTTTTAGCGTGACAATAGCACCTCCTCCAGTCCCCGCCTCCCAAACTCAATTCAACGCACTGGAACACATTCAATAAAAGTTTTAGCTAGAATAAAAATAACATGCCATGCCTTTCTTGTTTCATGAAATGCATATTCTAATAATAGAAAATGTTTGAAAGCGTTATTGGATATTGTTATGTTTGCAGGTATCAGAAAGCTGCTCAGTGGTTCGAAATGACTTTGTTTGATGTTGCATCTTCTTTGAATGACATGTGGGTGCCAACCTTGGTGAATCTTGCTCATGTCCAAAGGAAACTAAAGTATGAATTCACTTCATACGAGTAGGAATTTATGACGGAACTTGATATTTTAATTAAGATACATTGGAAATTTCTATACTTCTATGGCTTTTTTTTAAAGGAGGATTAAACCTTACTGTTAGTTGGCTTTTTGACAGGATGTATCACAAGGCTGTGTCAAGTTATGAAAAAGCCATTGCTCTTTCCAATCGGAGCTTGAGTGCATTTGCTGGTCTTGCATATACTCATCATCTAATGGTATCATCATTTCGTTGAAAAATTTTCTGCCTACTATTGCAACCAGATGTTATAGTTCACCATTATTTTCCCTAGGATGAAATTATAGCAATCTTTTGTACAACTTTGAAGAGTATTTGAATTAAGGCAGATCTGTGTCTGCTATACCGTGCCTTATATGACTGTTTTCTTTTCTACGCTAATTTCTGACTTAAAGGCATCATGAACAAAATTTTCTTGGGGATAATGACAAAAGGTTGACTTTTTTAATCCCAAATGTTCAGAAAATTTAATTTTGTATTTCTCGCTCATTCATCTTGCCTTGATTTGGTCTTTAATGCATAACAAAGCTGTCCTTTCCACCATCTGGTCCTAAATTTAGTAATACATAAAAATGGGCAGTTGAAGTTGACATTTTTGTCTGAAAATTTTCATATATAATTTGCAAAATTTAATAACAGCCTCTAGACTTTTGCCATATACACTATACAGTTTCAGTGATATCATACCATGTCGATTTTTTTTAATATTTTTTTTATTTTACACACCCAATCGCGCACACCCAGCGTATGCAAGGCCTTGAACCAAAGTCCTCTTGGTTGAAAGGTAAAACTCTCAACCATTAGGCCAAGGTGGCTTACATTCATTCCATGTCAATCTTTGATGAACATCTGAGCTCAGATCTAGATTATTTGACCTTTACATGCTTGTTGTTGTGCCAAAACTGGCTGAAACAGCGGCATGTGCAGACCATGCTACATTTTGCAAAAAAAATTCAGTGCAGTCCCTTATAGTACTTCTATTGAATAAAATGGAAAGCTGGAAAGGAGAATGAGGCTTTGTTGTTAATATGGCATAAATTTTCTTATCAGAAGGTGACAGCTTTTATGAAGATCTTTTACTTTTTACGTTTGGTGGAAGGAATGAAACAGCATGAAAATTTAGTGCTTTTATACCTGAATTCTGCTTAGAAATTCTGACAACTCATCTGTTTTCGGCAACCAAAAATGTCATAGTAACTGATTTCAGTGATGTGGGTAAATTGTAAAGCTATAAGACCACCCTTTTTTCCATTTTCATCATTAATCTTATTTGAACCGTTTGGACAGACTTTATGATTTTATTTTATTTTTTTTATTTTTAACGTCCAGTTAAGTCCAATATTTTTATCAAGGTTAGAATAAGACTATAGCTTAAGAGTAATGGCTTCAATGGAGTGATGCAGCAATATTGTCATCATTGTTGCCATTTTCACTAGCCTATTATTAATGTTTGGTTTCTGCCATATCCGGTTATCCATCCAAATTACAACACGATTATAATTAGTGCTGGAATGCATTCCAGCAAAATTGAGTTCCTGTAAATATATTTTATTGATTGAATGCTTTGTTTAAATTATTATATTTTATGTTCACTAAATTACCGTAATAGTGTATTCCTTGCCGAAATTATGTTCTCTCTTTGGTGATTCTATTTTCAGGATAACTTGGATGCCGCAGTTACTTATTATCACAAGGTTTGTTATTTTTTTTCTTGTTTTAATTAATTCTCTAAACTAAACATATTTAATTCATGTCAATCTACCGAGGGTTATGTTAGTCTTATTGGCTGCCTGCTTGGATCCCATGGCCGGATCTGTAGCATTACAATATCTTTGTTTCAAGGTATCTTTCCATGTATGTTTGTGTCCACTAGTCTGACTACCATTGAAAAGTAACCTTAAAAAATGATGTCAAAGGTTCAAATATAAAAATAAGCACATGACTAAATGTCGAAGTCATCATATAGTGTTTTAAAAGGTGCTTCCCTGCTTGGCTTTTGTTAATGTACAACCCTGTTTTTGGTTCTCTCTACTCTCAGATTAGCTTCGAGTTATCTAACATAAATTTTTTTATCAATTTCTCATACATTACACTCTCTTAAAGGAAATCGAATAATTCTGAAACTCATCCTATGTTTGATCTTGATATTTTGGCCCAAATATTTTCCGTGAAAGTTAGTTTGCAATGCATTACTTAGCCTATTAATTTAATTCACTTTTCAAATGTATCGCGTTGCTTTGATTGGAGAGCAGGCGTTATGGTTGAAGCCAGAAGACCAGTTTTGCAACGAAATGCTTACCATGGCATTGGAGATGCAAGGGCGTGGCATGTACCTGTTATGACTCTTTGACATTATTCCGCTGCTGTTTTATGTGCGTGTATGTAATATTTTGTACGAAGGTGAGCATTTATTTGATTATTTTCAGTTATTAGAAAATTTCCTATTTAAATTTGGCAGATATTGTTAGAATAGAGGCCCCTTCGATTTTTGTAATATAAATAGCAACCTCGAGGACTTTGATACCTGCTTTTGTGTTAAGATTAACCTTTGCTTTGAAAATCTGAGCAAGGGTGAATTTGTTGTCAGGGCTTCATGCGGTTACCTTCTATTAAAATATTGTGGCTTCTTTACAATCTCACCTGCATGTTAGGTGAAGAAATAAGTCTAAATGTCCATTATTATTTCCAGTCATTGATCAGTAAAATTGTATAAAGTTTGAATTTAACGCCATCTTTATAATATATATATATATCATAGTTCATTATATTTTTTCGTTAAAAAAATATCCTACATAAAAGTTTTCATTTAAAGCCTCACTTTTCATGCTTGTTGCAAGCTATATTTTATAATGGTTTTCACGATCCGATCTGGGGTGTAGAGTTAATTACTGTGGGAATAAGTTAAAATTTTCTATTAATTTATTTTTGCCATTAACAGTTAATATCTAAATATTAATTAAAAAATTATTAAATAAATAAAAGTTTATATTTCAGTTTGTTGGCGCGTTTTGAATACATTCTCTTTTATAGTATTCATCTCATTTGAAAGTTTAAACGTAGAGAAACTATTAAAACAACAGGGTGTGTTTTCTAAGGTAAGTCGGTGAAATAATCACTCTTTTAAAGAATAGCAATCTAACAAAAATGAATTTTTATATTTCAATGTAAATTGATAATAATCTTATGCATGTTTATGAAATCTCAATGAAAATAATTTAATATTTGATCTTTAAATTTTACATCTTGCTTAAAATCTATATCTTTCTCAAGAGCACAGTGAAGATATAATATTACAGATGTTGATCGATATTATTATGTCGGCATAGTGGATTGTGATCTAAATTATATGATTGTCTAAGATGGATGGGGGTTTACTTTCGTTTGGCTGCTACTTTGTTGTTTGTACAGTAGCGATGTAAATATCAAAGATTTTAGGGTGACAAGATAACATCTATGCGCACAGACATGATGGCGTCCTCAAGTGTATCATAAGTAGGTGAGCTCTTCCTCTTAACATGCACATGCAATCATTCATATATACACTTTTTTATTCCTCGTAAAATACATTTTTCCAATATGAGATACTTTACATTTCTTTGTTGGGAATACATGAACTCATATTAAATCTATAGGTAATGAAATAAATTGAAATATGCTTCTATACTAGAATTAAATGACATGGATTAGTTAAATAACTTCATAAATAAATCATTATGCAATGATTGATATGTAAATATTATGTAAGAATATGTTATATGTCTCTACTTGAATCTAAGATCATGCAATTGGCGCAGTCCATCACAAATAATAAAAGAATTTAAATCAAAAATAGTTGTGTTGGTGTGATAATATCGATCAGTTGTGTTAGGTTATGTTTTGACGTCCACTTAAGACAAAATTGAATTTTAGGAGTTTGAGTTATTTTCATCGAGTAAATTCGATACATGTATTAGATTATTATAAGTGTTTTTAAAGTTAAATATAAAAAAATTGCTATTAAGTTTTTTAGTTTATTAATGTGATTACTCCATTAACATATCTCAGATAACTCATTATGGTATTTTAATAATTTTTTAGATTTAAACGTTTAATTAAGATGAATATTAAGAGATAACTTGTTCGAAAAAATGTCAACAAGCTGAAATATAAACTTTTATTTTGTTTGTTAAATTATTTTTTTAATGACTCTTTTAATTAATATTTAGATATTAAATTGTTAATGATAGAAATAGAATAACAAAAAATTTAATTTCACTGGTTGACCGTCTGTTTTTGTCATAGTTAATTCTATGTCTTAGGCCGGGTCATGACAAGCTTACGACATTTTACAGAAAAAAAAACATCTTATTCGAATGACTTAATCAATTATGTTCATATGCCTATTGTTACTAATGACTTCCGAATTATTTTATTTTATTTTATTTTATTTTCGTCTAAATAAAAATATATATTTTTTTGAATTTATATCCATAGTTTTAAAGTTGCTAGACATTGTGGTACATTTATGCATATTCCTCACCACAATACAATTTCTTCAAATTCCCCAACTAAAATTTTGACGATAATTGATTACTCATAAAATGTTAATATTAAAGATGAAGGAAACCAGCTTCTTTTCTATTCTCAATTTATTAAAATTTTTTTTGGAAAACAATTTAGAATTCTTAAATTTAATTTGAACTTAATGTATTGTAATATTTTAATTAATTGATCCATCATATAATCTATTACTCAAAGTAAATTTATTTTTTTTACAAAATTCTCTAAAATTAATAATATATCGTGCTAAATTTAATCCTCAAGTCACGCCCCAATGTATGAGTCATTATAAACGTGGATGAAATCAAATTTTTTAAATTCAATTAAAGAATATATACAACAATTAGTGCTTTACATTACTTTATTAATCATGGTTGAAATTATCATTCAAATTGTATCCATTATTTAGCTATAACTCTTTCTCACTACCATTATGATAATTTAACTTGCACCATTTTGATGTCATTTGTGGGAGCCATATCCAATTTCCTTGCTAATTAATGACAATAAGCAATTGGTCATGTTGGCACAAAAATGTCTAATACCCACAAATCTAAGTTTTGTAAGTTCAATTTTTAATGCTCGAGAACCCCTTTTTTAAGAAGAGACATTGCAATAAGACATGCTTTTACCTTCCAATATTTTGAACTTCATTGATTATCTTTTTAATTGTCCTTGCATAATTGTATTTGATTCCTAAAGGAGGCTCAAAATGTACCCATATATTGCATTGTTGATGTTCCTTGGGATGAATCTCCAAGAAAAGCCAAGAAGATTTTTATGTGGGGATATGCTTCGACCTTCCATCAGTTAATTGAGACTTTTAAGATTCCTTACTAATCATAAATGTAATCCTTTGACATCTCAATTTTTTTAGGATTCAAACTAGAAGCTATTAATAAAATGGCTTATTTAAAATTTGTTGTATATTTACTGTGAAAAACATTCCTCTAATGTGCTCATCTTATTGGTCCTCTTAACTACTCCTTAAGTTCAAGTATATATAAAATTTTTCCTTCCTTACTCAAGTTTGAAACCATCTGGAAGAGAGAAATAATCATTTAGGTTAATAAAAGATTTGAGAAACTTTTTGAGTCTTGGCTTTATCCATGACTAACCATAAATAATGTGTATGTCAACGTTATTATAGTTTTTTTTCATGCTAATAAGTTTGACATTAAGAAAATGAAATTTCAGTCTTCTCTCTTTATTATGCCATTATATTTTTTTTCTTATGTTCTTCTTCTTCTTCTTCTTTTTTTCTTTCCATATATAAAAATGTGTTTAAGTGTCTCTCTTTCTTACATTTTCATTGACTCTCTCTTTCTCTCTCTCTCTCTCTCACTCCCCCTCCCCTTCTCTCTACCTCTCTCAGTCCCCCTCTCCCCTCTCTCTACCTCTCTCACTCCCCCTCCCCCCCCTCTCTCTCAAATTATTTGCTCATTCTTTTCCACTATATATCTAGATATCCTTCTATTCTTCAATTTTTTCTTCTCCCTATCTACTATACATGGGGCTTCTACATGCATGAAGTCACTTATAGCTATTATCAATTATGATGAAGTGTTAAATTATCATGGGTGATGATACTAAGAGTTCAAGTGGTTGGCGTGTATTTGCTTGAGGATCATATGTGAAGCAATAATGTTCTTTGAAAGAGGAGAAACCTGCAATGTCTATATATTAGAGATAAATACTCCCTTTCCTATTAGTTGCACAATAAATAGCCCTTGATAAAAGTTAACAAAGAAGAGTTTTCACATTATTCAAATGACTTTTAGGAAAGTTAATGCTTAGTAGACAAATATAATTTTTAATTTACATGTGTGTTTAAAATGAGAAGAAATATTAACTCTATAGTAGAGAATGTATTCAGAAAATAAAAAAGAGCTTTAGTAACTTAGAAAGGGGATAGCTTTTTATTTCTATAAAATGACATGACTTTTGAGGATGAGGATATATAATTTTGATCATAATTTACCCCCTAATTTTGGGAGCCCATAGCATATGTGGTTCCAAAAATAAAAAAAGAAAATTTTTATCTTGTCTCCAAAATTGCAATGCTCAATGAATCTTATAGAAAATTATACCATTGGAGAGACTATTCTTTTATTGGTATATATATTTTCACACTTGGAGTTTTTTTTATTTAGCTGTAGACCAGTCTAAAATGTTTTATGATAAAAGTTTAATTGAATAAAATTTCATAGAAAAATGATTCTGAGTAGGTTATTTATAGCATATCAAACTCATGATATAATTGAGTAGTTTGTGAATGATTAGAACACTTTGAGAGTCTTAATACATATTTAAGTTAAATATAAAGATAATGAGTTTGAATGTTGTGTCAAGCTGAGTAAAGATAATTTTGAAGCTTGTTTTTGTAATAACCCACCCAAAATTTAATAAAAGTAGCTAAAATTTCATTATTATATTTAAGTTTAATGATTAAATTAAGAATAAAATTTATTTACTAATTATTTTTAAAATGAGTGTAAATATTAGTTACTCAATTAAATTGTTAAAAAATATATATTCTAATTGACAAGCTTTCATTCAACAAAATTGATGCTAGTTAATTTTATCATTTAGAAGGGGAGATGGAAGGATGAAGCCATTTAAGTGAATTGAAAGCAATAAATGAAGTTGGTGGACAAAAAGAAGAAGGATAAAGAAAGAAATCAATGGATAGGGATTTGTATATGTGTCAAGTGACCGACTTTTTGTAAATCGACAAATACAAGAATTTGATGGCGCTATTAGAAGATTTAATTTCCAGCAACGACGTCCAAAGACTTGATTGCGACTTTATAGATGTGTCTAATTTGATTAAGATGTATAAATATAATATTCAATAATGTTAAAGTCGAATTTGTCAATGCAAGTATAAGTATCGCTCAAGTAATATAGGGCTCTAATGGAGTCCTAGATATCGATCCCACATGGAGTAGTTTAAAATTACAGACTAAGACCTTAGAAAAGAAATACTTTAATCACAACAACGACACTCAATTTGCTTATCTGTTACTAATAGGCAATTGAAATAAATAGATAATTTTAATAACTAATAAATAACTAATGATATAAAGTAGGGTTTAATTGTGATATTCAATATATACAAAGCATCATTCTCCTTGTCAAGAGATTATAGTGAATGGATAAAATGAATTAGTTCAATTTATATT